GTTCTGAGCTGGAATTTGAAGGCAAGGGGAGGAGGAGAAGCACAAGGAGAAAAAGAGTCTAGCAGACAAAATAGCATGAACATGGAGCAATGAGCATGCAAGGATCATCTAAAAAAGGGGGTGGGTAATTCCTTTGACTGGGGTAGAGTTTGTATAGCACTGCCCACAAGGAAAATTAATCTTTGGACCACATCTTTCAATGTACTACTGGTTAGTCATAATTCAGGTATTCTTGATTCAAAGCTCTATGGGCTTTTTAAAAAATTGATGAATATTTCATATTAAAAAAACAATGCTAGGGTTTAAAAAGAAATTTTGGTACTGTAATAACTTCATTCAACAAATATTTGAATACCTCTACTCTGCCTGGGGTAGATGAAATATGAAAATGAAGAAGAAATGTTATCTGCAGTACGAACATTGGGTTCTGTGCCTGCATCTGCCATTAGCCAGCTGTTGACCTTGTTTAGCACAGTAATAATTTCATTCAGCAAATATTTGAATACCTCTTCTCTGCCTAGGGTAGAGGGAAAACAAAAATGAAGAAGAAATGTTATCTGTAGTGTGAACACTGGATTCTGTTCCTGTATCTGCCACTAGCCAGCTGTTGAAAAAAAAAAAACATCACTCAACTGCTCCTGGTAGATTTTCTTCTCTCTGAATTGAGTAGATTCCATCTATGATATTCTATCTATCCCACTCTCCCAATGTATGTGTTTATGAAACAAGATCAAATCTCTCAAAAACATCAAGGAGAGGAGCAATAATCAGAAATGGCTTCACCAAGACTGATGGGAAATCCCCAGGAATTCTTGACATCCCCCCACATCCGCCCCAGCAGCAATGCAGGAAATCTAGTCCACTATCTCCAGCAGACTCAATGGAACCATTTCCTTAATGAAACCCCCCTGTAGTCCCAGATGCTAAGCCAGAGACTTTCCTTTCAAGTCCTCCCTCAATTGCCCCATTCCTCCCATTTCCTTCCCCTCCCTCAATCTGGTATAAAATCCAGTAATTAATAAGCAGCATGCACTTTCCAGGCACCTGAGTGTCTGTGTAACCACCAATAATCCTGAAAAACATGTGGCAGGAGATCTTGTCTTTTCAAACCAGCTCACCAGTATGCTAAGGCCAATTGAACAGAATGGATTCTTCTGTTTTAATAATTTGGTTAAACCCATGCAACAGATGCTTTAAATCATTCCTAATAATATATTTTACTTTAAATAAATATATAAAATACTGGGTGTTATTTCAGATGTCCTTTCTCTCCTATCCACAAGGACAAAGTACATATTTGGAAAAGTTATAGCATGTATTTGATATCCAATGAACTCCTGACCCAACCGAACCAAGAATTTAACTCCTGCAAGCTTTGCATTTCATACCCAAGTGCCAAGAGAGCTTCCCTTACTTTCTCTCCATTCTTATGCCCACTCACATTCAAATCTCACCTTAAAGGAGCACCACAGAAGCTACTGCTCTGTTATTTCTTCTTACCTTGCAGAACTTCCCGAGGAAGAGTAAATACCAGCCATAACTTTGCAATAGGCTGGGTAACCTTCCTCAAAGATATGCCATTTTTTTGATCAATAGAAAACCATTTTTTTACAACATACCATTTTCAACTTCTACAGTCTGTATATTCAAGGTAGATTTAGAATGTCTCAATAGTTTTTGGTAAGGAGAACAAAGTGATTATTTGGTTTGTTCTAAAAAATCATGTAAAATAGAGGCTTAGTATCCTCATTGAATTCTAAACTTCTTTTAGAATAAAGTGAGCATTAATAATAATAAAAAAAGAAATGCATATGGGTTTAAAATGACTGGCATCATTAGCACTTATACTGTAACTAGAGTTCTAAAGTAAAGTCTACTTGCTAGAGTTACATATTCTGCTAGAAAAAAGCAGAAAGCCCAAGATAATGATTAGTACTGGTTTGGGCATACTCTAATAGGTTAGCTCTTGCAACCCACTGAAGACCAAGCTAATTGGTTGGTCAGGTGCATTCTCTAGGGAAAAGAAAATACAGTGTGATTACTGATAACAGGGAAAACCCTGTTTATCCTTCTAGCCTCAGCTCTGGCATTGCGGGGTTTACTACCCATCCTACATGCAAAATGTAGGTAAGGGAAGAAGAAAAAGACATATTGCGTTCAGCCTATTTCTTGGAATCATTCATTGAATTTTAGAGTTGGGAAAGGGTCTTAGAAATAATCATCTACTCCAACTTCCAAATTTTACATATGAAAACAGAAAAGCCACTTAGATTTCACTAGAAAAGAAACTGGATAGCCTTTTATAGAATTTTCAACAGAGAAAGAAAAACTTCAAATAATAATAAACGAATAAGGTAAAAATATTCAAGAACTAAAGTAGGTGACGATCTACAATTCACCTGCAACATGATCTATCAGTTGGAAAACTAACTGAATTGCCTAACATGCTATAAATAATTAACATTTTCAATATGCAATTCAGAAAAACACAACAAAAAGGAGTGACTGCATAAACCTTGGGGAAACAACAAAAATTGTCATGTCAAATTAGCTTTATTATGAGATTTATTACATTCGATTTGGAAATATGTATTATTTTCATGTATATTTTGATTTAACTTTGTTATTAATGTAGACTTTACTCACAAAATCCCCAAGGGAAGAATTTCCAGTTAGTTACAGCAAATTGTAAATGTTAGCTGCTCAAAAACTCAAGAAAAACAGGGCCAGAAAAAAATGGTCTGTGGCTTTAATCAAGCGTGTGGTGACTTAAAAGTAAGAAAATGAGACTTTGAGTAGAGTTAAAGGAGGACTGGTATCCCTTCTAAGAAAAAGACATTGCAATACTGAGGACTTGAAAATATCTGAATTATTGGCATCTTTTTATTTCCCAGAATATTTGGAAGCAGGTAAATACACTCTCTGGGGGGAAATGCATTACTTTTTTGTACTGCCGAACCTCTGGTTATTTCATCCCTCCAGGTGCGCGTGCACATCGGTCAAAAACAGGATAATACCTGATAAGTACACAAAGGATCTAGAGTACCCGAAGGAGCGCAGACCAGGCCCGTGATGGGCGCAAGTGGACTCCTGATAAATATACCGGTCAGAAACGTGGTCCCTTTCTGGACCCTCTCCCCACAGCTGCAGCCCTTCAGGTCAGTTTGAAAGTCCTGATGTGGTTCAGAAAGCACGTAGGGACTATTTTGCTGTGAGATGCCTGTTAGCCAGACCGAGAAGCCTGTGTTCTGGGAAGTCAGGCTTCGCAAAAACAAACCCCAAAGGCTGAGAGAACGTCCCTTAAACCGCAGGTAAAGGGGTTCTCACCCCTTTACATATGTAAATTTACATATGTAAAATTTTTAATCACAAAAGAGTTCCAAGATTCTTGCCTCATTTAAGTAAAATCAAATCTAAGGGAAATCACAAGGGAATCTCACAGGTTTCTGAAAACCTTCACCGACCTAAGTGGCCCTTAATCAGGAAGAGAATTGTACTTCACTAGTCAACCACAGTTTCAAAACAAAGATAAAGAGACATCTGCGTGAAGCAGAAAATCCAATACAACATACTCTCTTCCCTCCAATTTTTGGACCCGCAATGATTTACCTAGATTTCCCTTTACATAACAGACAGGTGCACTGCAGCAAGTTATTTAGATGCTCCAAGCAATTGCTTCAAAATAAATGACTTTTCCAAACTAAAAAAATGTGTTTTTGAGTTAAAACAGCAATATTTCAAATTCATACAGTTATTTGGCAGCTTTTTCCAAGTTACAGCGCGGTTCTCAGACATTATTACTGCGCCTTTCCTCTCGGGTCAATGGTTTCACCAATCTAACTGGAACTATTGGCTTGTTATTTAAAAACCGACGGTCTAATTAGTCTTCCCACTGAGAAAGAATATTTAACTGTTACAGCCTGTGGGGTTCAACAAACATTTAAAAAAAAAATAACTGACTTTACTTGAATGATTGCTGTCACTTACTTGATGTTACTGTCTTTTGCCCGGAGGGACTGAACCAAGGGCTCGGCCGCTGGGCCCCACTGCGCAGACTCCCGACCCAAGCCCCTGAATCCCCTGGGGCTCCGACACCTGGCTGGGGCGGCCTCCACCCTGAAAGAGGCGTGACCTCCGGGCCCAGACAGCGGACTGCCAGTTTCCCTAACACCCGGCAAAGGGGTGGATCTCACCGGTTTCTCAAACCGCATCGTTCTGTCCAAATGTCCGCCCTTTCTTCTCTCGGAATTTAAAGGCTAGACTTGCAATTCCGAAACTTAACGGTATTTGGGTTCTGGACTGCCCTCGTCCGTCAGGTTCACTCAAGCAGCGGGCCTGGGCGGACGTGGGCAGGACCGGTGGAAAGAGTCCCACCAGTCCGGGTGGCTGTGCGCAGCGCGCTCCGGCCCCGTGGTCCGCGACCAGCGGGAGGAGTGGACGCTTGCAGAACGTTCCGCGGACAGTCGGGCTCTGGGGCCCCAAGTGGGTTAAAGGGTACCAGTTATTGCCATCTTCGGGGATCTGTCTGCTCCCGGCAAGCACACGACCGCCTCCGAAAGGGCTCGCCTCCTTTCCTCTCGGGGCGAGACGTCGTGGCTGGTGCCCAACATCGCCACCGTCGGGCTTCAGTCCAGCCCCCGCGTGGCCCCGCGGGCGTTCTGGGAGCCGAGCGCGGGCTCTAGAGGGTCCTGAGTACTGGCCGCCTGGGAGGTCTGGGTGCGCGGCGCTCCCAGAGCCCGGAACGAGGCAGAGAGGATGAGCGACTTCAGCGGCCAAAGAGCAGCTCCAGTGCCATCCAGGGTGGCGATGCCCTCGGGCTCCGCCAGTTGCTCTGCCAGGCGAGCCTTGACCGCCCCGCGGAGGAGAAAGGAGCCACGACCCCAGGCGTGCACAGTGACACTCGGTTTCCAGGTTCCCACCGTGGCTCGCCTCCCCTGCGTGCCCTCGGCCCCCCAAGGTGTGCCCCCTGCCTGCTTATCACGGCACTGGCCTCGCCTCACCTGTGAGAAGCAGACCGCCGAGCAGCGCGCACAGCAGGACTCCGGTGTCCCAGCAGTTGACCATGGTGAGCGCGACGCGGCCTGCTTGCCTGGTGCCCGCACTCCTGGCGGGCTACCGAACCAGCCGCCGGAGCTTGTCTTCACCCACTCCGCCTCCGACCGCGCACTCCGGCTCCGCGTCCCGAGCGCCCCTCTCCGCGGCTCCAGCCAGCCAGACAGCCACTTGACGGGTAATCCTCGCAGCCCAGCGTCCTTGGCCGCTGCGCTTCAGTCCCAGAGCCGGCTCCTGGCCGCCGCCGCCGCTGCCGCTGGGAAAGAGTAGCGAGAAGTGTCTACCCGGCGCACTCCAAGCCTCTAGCGGACCTCGATGAAGAGGAGCCGAGGGCGGGGGCCATTTATAACCTTTCCCCAGCCCACTTCCTACCCCGGTACCTCCTTCCAGTGACGTCAAGGGGTCCCCCACCCCTTATCCGCCCCCCCCCCACCTACCCTCTTCCTCCGGGACCTGATTCCCTACTGCTGCGGAGAGGGGCGGGGGCCGCCAGGCGTGGGGAAACAGGGCCGAGGGCGCGCGCGTGGGGAAGCGCTGACGACTTGGCCCAGGAGCACGGCCGGGGCAGGTTCTGGGTCCTCGTTCCGGACCCTCTAGTCTGCGTGCCCTTCTGTCTTCAGAGCTCTGGAAATCTTGGCAGGCTCCTTCCGTCCGGCTTACTCAGCTCTGGGGGCCGCCAGAAGCTGGTAAGGGCACAGGAATGGAGCTCCACCGCCCGCCCCCGGGGCGGAAAGTCCTATGTGCGGGAAGCTGGCCGCGGTGTCCTTGGCACCAAAGAGTGAGGCTCAGTCCCGCTCCCTCCCCTTCCTTGCTCATCCCTTCTTGTCCAGCCACACCCCCTCCCCCCGAGCCCCCTGACTGTCCCCAGACCTCGGAAGGCGCCGGAAACTTTCGGCACCTGACACTGGACCGGGAGAACCCGAGATCACTGGACGCTTGCCTGGCACCTTCGGGAAGACAGTGGACCCTCTCCGGTCCCTAGAGAGTGCAGTGCGTCTGTGTCTTTTTCGGCCGCAGATGTACCCGCCCAAGTTATGTCCTAAGCCGCTTCCTAGAAGCAAAACAAGAAATAGCATCAAGATACCTCTTTCAAACCTGAGGCGTGAAACTGCTCCTGCAACTTGTAAGGGCCGGACACTTGAACTTTATTTCCTAAATTCTCGGAAAAGAAAAAAAAAATCCTTCTGATAGCAGCTAGCTTACTCAAGATGAGTGAGTGACTTTGCTGCTCTTCGAACAAAACGAGGTGAAATTAACTGGAGGCAGTAGGTCATTTGCTAGGGCACTGATTCCGCGTTGTTCCTCAATTTCGTCTCCATTGCCACAAAGGCTGAGAGCGTCCTAGGCTGCATGGAGCAATCCCACCTTGTCCCTGTAAACACCGCCACTTTGGAAAATCGCTCTCCTGGAACCTGCCAGATGGTCCTGATAAAGGGAACTGTGATTGCTCCTGAACTGGGCCGGCGACACCTCCTGAAGGCTGGGACTACCACCCGGCCTGGGAAAGTTGGGCAACCCGAACTTGCCACGCCTCTGGGCGGGTGAGCAAGCCCAAGTCTCTGCCACCAGCCGACCGACGCAGGAAACGCTCATCGGAGCACCTGGCGCCGGGGCTACTAAGCCACAGTCCCTCTTGGTTTAAAAGGAAGCAAGACGGCGCACAGCCATTGCTTGCCCGCTGGCTTCACCATCCTTTCCCAGTGCTCCTCACCACATTTCCCCAAAACAGGCTCACTCAGTGTAGAGCTGGTAAACACAGATCGCTGGGCTGGAAGCTGACAGCGGATCCTTCTTGCAACTGGTCCCCCAGCCCAGGTCACGGTCTGGAGCACACCCGGAGAGCCGAATTTTAGAGCTACTTGTCACTTTCTGCTTTCTCTAAAGGCAGGCCGTCAGCATTGCCCTTCTGCACTTCACAGGGACCAGGCATTGTGTTAGAGCCAAAGACACCGCGATGGGAAGGGCTCATCTCCGTCTTCTAAGGGGTTTAAGATCCGCAAAGGGGCCGGGACCACACAGTGCTAAGGTCCTAGGGCTGGGCTGGCTTGGGTTTACCACGGACACAAAGAAGAGGTGGTCGGTCTGTCCTGCGGACTCAGGAAAGACACTTAGCTGACTCTGGGGGAAAGTGGTCCACAGGACGACCTACCAAAGTTTACTGCAACTTTTCAAAGCGATTTGATTTTTTTTTTAAACACGCAAGGGAACAACATTTGAAATAGCTGCTGTCAGAAATGAATCTGCGTGGACTTTCTTTGTAAAGCCAGGAGAGCTGAAACAGCCTTCCTAATCGAAGATGTCGGTTGGTCAGCAATATTGCTCACTTATTATAAGAGTCATGGTTGAGTCTCACTTTCTTCACACCCAAATCATTCTGTATTGAGTGGTCTTCCAAAAAGCCCCCAACTATTCTTTGGAAAAGTTGCAGGCTTTTAATGAGAGCCAGCAATTTCTTTTACTCTTCCTTCTTTTGTTAGTCACATTCGCTTCCTCACGAAGAATTCAGGATGCTACAAGTTGTCACAAAGCTTTGTTCATGATTTCATTTTATGTTTAGATGAAATTTAGCATTGAGATAAATGACTATCTAAGCTGAAATGATGAGAAATAAAGGTATGGCTCTCAGCTCTTCCCCCCAAAAGAGATAATATTTGAATGAGAATGGGCTACAGTACTCCCCAACTAAATCACTAAGGAAGAGGTTTTATAGATAATAGTGATGGAAAAGATCAATTTCAACACCCCTGGTGGGTATAAAAAGCTATTGAAGCGGACTATCTGCTTACTTCCTGCTTAAATACAAAAGAACATTTCATCTCCTGCAAAACCAGACACTCTCTCTTGTTATCAGGTATAAACATTCTCTTGAGGGTTCTTTCTAGTCCCTATTCAGAGGCACACCAACAGCTTTAAAGTCCAAGACTAAAAAACAGTGTGAAAGCATCAGGGTGGGAGACAGAAGGAAACCCAGGCCCTCATCTTCCTGCTGCCAACCAAGGGTGGAGAGGGCTCAGCTTGCAGTTGCTGGGGCTCAATCAGGAATCTCATCCCCACATGGGCTAGGTAGCTCCAGACCAAAGAAAAAAATGGATTCTGTGGCTACACACTACATAGCATAAATAAGTATGGTTGGCCACAAGAACCAAATGATCTTATAAAACCCTGCTTTGTTATGGGAAAAAAACCACACCTCACAGTACATATCCACTTGACAGTTCAGGCTCCTTGGTCTAAGAAGAACATACTCACAAACCTTAGGTTGCTAGTTCTACTGACAGAGTTCCTTGGGGGCCATCTCCTTTTGGCTCCATAAGCCCCATTCTGTTTCTGACTACCTGCTCCTCACATAGATGAGTGCTGCTGCTACTTATCTCATTTTGGTTTATGCAGGGTTTCAGCTTCTTTTTGAGTCTGTGTGTCCCAGTTCAGGCCTGATAGTTATCCCTATATCTCTTGATACTCCCCAGGGGCTGAGACATAGTTACAATACTTCTGTTACTGCAACCTAAACTCAAAGGGGACTTTCCTGTCAGCTAATTCAGTCCCTGCATTCTTAGGAGAACTTACTCTGGGTAAGACCCCTGAGGCTTTTTCACAAGGGCTGTGATCTGGCTATACTTGTACAGCCCTAGCTTGGACAATTCAAACCCAGACCCTTACACACACTCTTATTTAACTTCTTATTTGACTTAGTCCATGTTGCTGGCATGTTGAAATCTTTCTGCTCTCCAATTCTGCCATTCAGTGCATTTCCTGTATCTTCTGCTTCAAATCATCGACAGACAGGATAAGCGTGCCTTCTGGATCACCACCAAAATCCTTAAGGAAGACAGAGCTGAATGAATGAATAAATGGACTTGAGGGTTAAATAAACCAAAGTATTTGTGTCATTATCTCTAGATGTATGTTCATCAATAGAAGCTTCATGTTAACTTGTTATTATTTAGGATTGACATTATTTAGGAACACTTGATGGACTGAGCAAGAGGAAATAGGACAGATAAGTTTTACTCAAGTTACCCTAGGAAAGTTTTTAAAAAGTCCAGAATCAAGCCATTAGAGAAGATTGCGGCAGGAGAAAGGCAAAACAGAGAGGGGACTAATACTAAAGGAAAAGTAGTTGGTTAAGGAAATATGTATATGGGTCACCTAATCATTATAATTAACAATTTTGCCAAAGGTTAATTTTATCTTAGCATGTAACTCTTAGCTGTTGACTTTTTATCTTATTTAAAAATATATTATTTTTAATATACTTTTTTAATTAGAAAACATTTAGACAGATGAGAAGATAGGGAGAAAGCTAGAGGATGTAATAATTGAATCATTTTGATATAATTACCATGATCACTTTGGTATATTTCATGCTACTCTTTTTCACACAGAATGCTCTTATTTTTCCATGTTTTTACATTGCTTTCATAATTATTATATTTAATAACTGCAAAATATTATCCTACTGCTGGACATTTCAATTTTATCCTTACAAATAATTCCAAAATTAACTTAATTTGATGCTGGAATGTTTTTTAGTCAGTTAGGTACACATACTTTTATTCCTCTCTTCCCTCCAAGCCCCTTTCATACACACACACACACCCTCCAATATTCTTGCTTCACTTGAAACCAGCACTTGTTTTGTCAAACAGAGATGTGGCTGAACAATCAGAAGGAAAAGGTCCTTGTCGTGGTACACAATCCAGAAAATGTATTCTTGCTTTCAGTTAATATTTTTATGCACAGACCCCTTACCCAATCATGGGCCAGTCTTGTTGAAAAGAGTAAAATGAAAGACATAATTATTGTCCTAGAAGGGCTTCCAGTTTATTTGAGATGGCCAGGTTTACCTAAAACCTTGGGAAACAATTCTACTGCATGTAAAAGCAACAAGAAGATACAGTTATGAGTACAGAAATTATTAATTACTAAACTTAGAAATGATTTTGAGGGTAGCAACAAGATTAGTATCAGCAGAGGAGAAGGCATTCTGAAAAGAAGGCAAAAACAGTAAAACCAGTGGGGACAGGGAAGTGTGTGAGTAGGGCCAGTAGAGGAGGCAGGTGACAGGGAACAGGAGGGTTAAATTCAAATAGGCAAGGTTGAGGGCCCTTGATGACTTGGTAGGTAAAGTGTGCTTAATCCTGCTAGTACTAGGAAGGGATGGTTTAAAGTGGCTAGAGTAGCATATGGGGGATTAAAGAGGAGTGAGACTGAAAGGAAAATAATAAATCATTAACTAAATCTATGAAGAAACAAACTATTAGAAGGAGAGAGGATAGGACTGGAACAGGGATGAGAAGGAGCT